CCAGAGAAATCAAAGATGTTTGCAATGAAAAATACAAAACACTGCTTAAAGAAATTAAAGATGACACAAACAAATGGAAAAATATTCCACGCTCATGGACTGGAAAAATTAACATTCTTAAGATGTCCATCCTACCCAAGGCAATCTATAGTTTTACCGCAATATCTATTAAATTACCAGCAGCATTCTTCTCAGACAATACAGGTTTGACCATGAATAGCCAAAACAGTCCTCATCAAAAAAAAAAAAGCAAAGCAGGAGATATCACACTTCCAGACTTTAAGCTCTATTATAAAACTACAACAATCAAAACAGCCTGGTATTGGTCCAAGAACAGGTATATAGACCAATGGAACAAGATCTAAACTCTAAATGGATTAGAGACCTAGACATAAAACCTCAAACTATAAGAACATTAGAAAATGCAGGAGTCACCCTCATGGAAATTGGAACTGGCAACCAATTTCTGATCAAAACCACAAGTGCCCATGCCATAAGAGATAAGATAGACAAGTGGGACCTCATCAAACTGACAAGCTTCTGCAAAGCCAAAGAAACCATTGAGAGAGTGGGAAGACAGCCCACAGACTGGGAAAAAATATTTGCCAACTTCATGTCTGACAAAGGCCTAACATCAAGGATCTACAAGGAACTCAAACGTGCTGAAAAGAAAAAAAGCAAACAGCCCCATTACAAAGTGGACAAAAAATAAGAATAAACACTTCTCAAAAGAAGACACATGAGCAGCCAACAGATACATGAAAAATTGTTCAGCCTCACTAGTCATCAAAGAAATGCAAATTAAAACCACACTGAGAGACCACCTAACTCCAGTTAGGATGGCCATCGTCAAGAACTCAAAAATCAACAGATGCTGGAGAGGATGCAGTGAAAAGGGAACACTTCTACACTGTCGGTGGGAGTCAAACTAGTGCAGCCTCCGTGGAAAACAGTGTGGCGGTCCCTTAAAGTGCTAAAAATCAACCTTCCATGTGACCCTGCAATCTCCCTACTGGGAATAGGGAACAGAAGAACTCGTCACTCTATAAAAAAGATACTTGCACACATATGTTTAACACAGCATTGTTCACAATAGCAAGAACATGAAACCAACTGTGCTGCTCATCAAAAGAGGACTGGATAAAAACATGTGGTACATATACACAGTGGAATATTATGCAGCCATAAAGAACAAAATCATAAACTTCGCAGCAACCTGGATGGACTTAGAGTGGATAATACTGAGAGATCTTTCACAGAAACACAGAACTGAGTATCACATGTTCTCACTCAAAAGTGGACCTTGAACAACTATCATAATACTATAAGAAAAGGATTGACAGTAGCAGGAAACTGCAGAGAGTGTGGGGTTGGGGGGGTGGGGAGGTGGGATTGGCAGTGATGGGAATCTGCCTGGGGAAGGGGGGGCACACCTCATCAACAGGGTACCTGCACAATGAATATGTGTATACCTAACCCTGAATCGTACCCCACAATTTTAAAATAAAAAATTTAAAGGTGAAAGAAAAAGATACCTGCACACTCATGTTTATTGCAGCATTATTTTTTTTTTTGAGTCGGAGTCTCACTCTGTCGCCCAGACTGGAGTGCAGTGGCCACTC